TTCTTGAGGTCAAGTATGAGCTTGCGATGAGAGAGGAATGGAAGGTTGACGTTCGTAGTTTGATGTCGCGCTATGTATGTACGTAATGTCTAAAAATCGACGGTCCAACGTCAATTGGATGATTTGTCGGCGAATAGCGTTAAACTCTGCCGTAGGATGGTGCCCGCTCCACTAAATCATTTCCAGCTGTCAGTCTGCCAGCGGACCGCGAACGGTCAACCAATCCGGGCAGGCGGTGTACTTATGTAGGCTTGCAGCAGGCAGGAGCCTGCAGGGCCCAAGATATGCTCGTTCTTGCCCCATGACGAAACGGGCTCTTAGAGCGTCGTAGTATGGGGAAAGCTCCCCTGGACGGAACCTCGGACATTACTACCTATACTTAGCTACTTGCCTTAATTAGAGATCATTATGCTGCAGGTGCTAATCTCGTGCAAGTCAAATGAACAAAGCACTTGACGAACTCTAGACCTTTTCCAAAAACATCCACGTTCCTTACAAACATTGAACATTTCTTTGCTACTGGAACCCCCTTCTTCTCTCTTGGGTGTTACAACTCGTCCGGTATCGTATCGAACTAAGTCGACGGTGTGCACACTAAGTGAATCACAAAGTAATTTCGCGCCAGATGGACGCGATCCGTCGTGCAACACTGCAATTACATGGAGACTCACGTAGATGAGGGCACGCCTTTGAGCAACTATCTCGAGGGTATGTATGCCGATTCCATGCAGCGCACCAACCCTGAACCCTTGGCCCTTCGCTAGACTATCCCCCTTAACTTGCAATATGGTTGAAGCTCGCAGAGTCCTAACCGTCGTTGTTACAGGCACAGGGGAGGGAGACGAGCCGCTTTGGCAGGAACCGGAAGACGATAGGGACCACGATATCTCGCCGCCGTCTAGTCCGCCCCGAGATTTTGCTCCAAGAGGCTTCGCCAAGGTTCGGAAGAGGTTTCGGGAAAATCTGCCGAAGCCCCTGCGCATCGATCCCAATAATCTTCCTCCTCGTATCAACTTGGACGACATCCATAGCCACGCCACCCCTGTCCTCAGTGTATTGCGACTGGTGCTAGGAGCTGTAACTTCGTCCATCGACCACGCTCGGTCGATCGGGTTCCTTGAACGACTACGTCTTGCCATCGTCCAGTCCCAGCTCCTGGATAACCCCTTAGTACTAGGCTATCAGCCGCTCATCGAACCCACGGTATCGCAACTAGCCGTCGAACGGAGCTTCCATGGAATCACGGTCTCCGGTGCCGTTGCTGCGGCCGTATTCGGTTTTGGTGCGGCCTCCCTCGTCAGATGGGTCTCGCTCGGAGGATTTATGCCAACATGGAGGCGACTACTGGTCTCTACTGCAGTAGTGTCTCTGGTGCTTCTCATTGCTAGGGCATATGTGCGAAGGCAGATCCTGAGGAACATACAAAAACAAGGCTTAGTAGAAGCCTCGACGTTCTTCTCTCTCTCCCGAGAGTATGACTGCGCGAACAGTGCGGCGCTCAACTTCATAATGGAAGTGGAATTAGTTGCCCGTGGATATCGACTGTGAACCTCCCTGGCCCCAATATTTCACTGTGTGAGTAGCTAATCTCCCAACAGGAGCACGCCCATCCCTCCTATCAGCCGACTAGAGAATAATGGGCAAAACGTCAAGTGTCTTCAGCTAAGGAAAGCTCTCCGGAACAGCCTGACGGAAGTTATTTCCAAATATTATCAAATTGCTTTCACAGTCTGGGGATTTGCAGAGCAGACCGAATTGCTGCAGCTACAATCCCAGTATCAGTTCACCGTCGCTGATGTAGTAGATCGATTTCAAGTCTTTTCTAAGGCGGACTCTCAAAACGCCGAGAAATTGCAACCCCTGAAAGATGCGGCTTTCCTTTTCCATGACATTCGAAAGATGTTTCTGAGCGGTTTGCTTGCTCTTCATACAGTTGGCAACGACTCTGACCGACTTCGTTTCACGACAATATTAGAAGCATTCAAGGAATTAAACATTGTCACAAAGCAAGCTTACGCGCGGGTAAGAGACATTCTAGCTGATAATGATTGTAAGTAGAGTATCATAAGTCGATATATTGTGCTCTCATTAACCGAACTCTAGTCCAAATCCCGAAAACTCCAAGAAGTCCTGAGACGCCTGGCCACGATCGATGGCGCCACCAAGTCCGCAGGTTAAACTCGATGACTATGAACATCCGTAGTGTGCAGGCCAAGTTGCATCTCCTACGCGAAGAGTCATCTAAAGCTTTGAACGAAGCCGACGATATTAGCGATCTTGGGCCGTTGTTCATGGCTCAGTACGACTCCATAGGCCAAGATCTACGAGACTTGATGGAAGCGTGGCAGACGGGCAAGGCTTCGTTGGCATCTGGCATCGATAGAAACGAGAAGCGTTTGTCGTCCATCGGCTCCACGCTGATGTCGCCTATAAGCACGATGAGCGGACGGACCATCACGGAAGAGGACGAAAATAGCCCTGACGAGCGTGAGCCGGGAGTTGCTGACGCATTAAAGAAGCTTAATGGAGATTCCTCGCCGCCGTCGGAGCTAGACATTCCTATCGAACCAGAAGTCTTCGAAGCCATCTCGATTCCTCGACCCAAGTGCCTGCTCACGCGGGAAGAGAGGATCATTAGGATGAGAGAGGATCGCAAAACTAAGGAGATTGCCAAGGCGAAAGTTGAAGCCCAAAGGGGCATGATGCGGGAGTTGCAGGGGGTGCTGGAAAGAAAACCCGGGCGTGGTCGAATCTCTCTTTGAAATTTCATTGCCGCTTTGTATCATTTGCACTAACAGCAGTAGCTGGGCCTATGGCGCTGGTAACGAGTAAATTATGAACTGGGTCGCATGGGTTGCAGTTATGGCGCATCTGGGATAGAGAGCGATCCCGTTGTTTTGAAGTTACCTTCACCCCCATGGTCCACGGCGCAGCTGGGTTGTTTGCTTTGCATAGGGAGGTGGCAACTGCATAAAGAGCCGGCCATCCATACGATCTCTGCGTATAATGTCTTTACTATGTCGCCGTATATATCTGCACACTACGCCTACCTAGGCATATACATAATAAATCTTCATTGGAAAGATGGGAAGATTTGAGATCTTCTGTAAATATCAAAACAGACTTGCTGAATTTGAATATATCGACGTTTTAGATGCTCATTTCTGAATATTAGAGTATCAGAGTATATGCATTACCTCATATTTACGCCTACCCCTATTACATACCAGCTTACCTAAGGCAGTGGGGCAGTCGCGTCTATCTCCAATTCAAGACGCGTTGAGTGGTTCCACGCGTCGCCGTTCCCCAATTCATCCCACTTCTAAATAATTTGTACAATTACCAGCACCAGCACCTCTCGACAACATCCCAAATACAACCCAACTACTCTATAACGATTATACCAAAGCCTCACTACTATCAAGTAGTTAAAAAAACCTCATCGCATTTAAAAAAAAAATCGGCGTAAACCTTTGCCGACACGCAATCTCTTTAATAGTTCATCTAGTCCGTAGTCTACCTAACCCCGAAGTCGCCATGTTGGAAGCACGACTAGAGCAGGCCCAGATCCTGAAGAAGGTATGTCCATGCCGTGATACATCACCAATTCGTGCGCCATACTGACGAAGTAGGTGGTGGATGCCATCAAGGATCTGGTTCAGGATTGCAACTTCGATTGCAATGACTCGGGCATCGCGCTCCAAGCCATGGACAACTCCCACGTCGCCCTCGTGTCCATGATGCTGAAGGCCGAGGGTTTCTCTCCATACCGTTGCGACAGGAACATCGCCCTCGGTGTCAACCTCGTCTCCCTAACCAAGGTCCTGCGCGCAGCACAGAACGAAGACATCCTCACCCTCAAGGCCGAGGACGCTCCCGACTCCCTCAACCTCGTCTTCGAGAGCAGCGAGAATGACCGTATCAGCGAGTACGACCTCAAGCTTATGGACATCGACCAGGAGCACCTGGGTATTCCCGAGACGGAGTACGCAGCCACAATCTCTATGCCTTCTGCCGAGTTCCGACGTATCTGCACCGACTTGATGGCCATGTCCGAATCAGGTAAGTTCTACGCGTGCATTCTCCTTCTTTTTAGCAACCACTTGTCGCGAAGGTTATAACTAACACGTAAAAGTCACAATCGACGCTACCAAGGACGGTGTCAAGTTCTCCTGCAATGGAGACATCGGCAACGGTGCCGTTACCCTCCGCAGCCACCAGAACGTCGACAAGCCCGACCTGAACATCGACATCGAGCTGACAGAGCCGGTCGGTCTGACGTTCTCCCTCAAGTACCTGGTCAACTTCTGCAAAGCCCAGGCTCTGTCTAGCACTGTCAAGATCTGCCTATCTAATGAGGTACCGCTCTTGGTAGAGTATGGACTGGCCGGCAGCAGCTTTTTGAGATTCTATCTTGCTCCGAAGGTTTGTCATACCACGTCTATCTACATCTTCCTTCCCGACAAATTACTAACGTTGGTTCTCTACCTTCTAGATTGGCGACGAGGAATAATGGATCGGAGGTAACGAGGCGTAATGAGCATCACGAAGATACCACGCTGGTAGGAGGAATGGGTTGCTACTGGTCTTGCTTGAGGATTATTCGCGGTCTATGATATGGATGAAACACGATCGCGTTCCATTAACAGATCTATAGCCGTTGGATGCGGTGGTTCCAGACATAGTACCACCCCCTTGAAGCTTGAGATAGTTTACAGGGCAAATAGTATGCCTTGCAGTCCTTAATAATGCGACTCTTTTTTCCGCCAAATTTTAAGGTCACGATGTTCTATCTCCTATTCTAAGGTGAGCTCTCAGCATATAATTAAATGTGGTTCGGTGCGAGGCTATCCATGATTACGGTGCATTTCGATAACCGAGCAATTTTTCATTGATCTAGAATGACAGAATCCTTTAGCTACTGCTATCGGGCTGTCTAGTGGAGAATAACTATTTCATATAGTTTATGAAAAAGAAAGGAAAAGAAAACAAAGAAGTAATGACAAGAGTGGGATTCGAACCCACGCGTCTTGCGACATTCCGGCACCTCTTTTACAAAGGTAAGTTACTACAAGTCAAACTTGAGCGGAACTCCATAGACCACTCGGACATCTTGCCTGATTCTTATTGTTTTCGGTTGCTTAAATTGACCTATAGTTTAGTGCTCTTCGGCGGCCTTTTGTCGATGTCCGATAGTGGGGTTAGGTACATGTACGTAGTGCAACATCCGGTATCTAATGCAAGTAAGCTCCACTACAGGGCAAGACGACCCGTGAAAAACTGTAAGTTTCGAAGCGGCCGATTCTTTCGAGTCATGTGCACTATCGCACCGGCAATCGGCGGAAGTCATGATAAGAGCTTCCATTCATACATTTCTTATGTTGCGCCTGCTTCTTTTACCTAGTTTTGTCAGCATCTTTTCTGAATGGCTCCGTGGATAATCCGCCGTTCTTTTTTCCTCTGGAGCAGTGACGATAGATGACCCCGCTTTGCTTCACCAGTCACTTGAACATTCATCAAAGCTACCCCTCCATATACTGTCAGGCTTCTTACGTCTACATCAACACATCCGTTCCGCATGAGTTCCGAACCTCGAGTACCAGAGACGGGCGTCCTGGCCGTTGCCAGTCATGTAGGGAAACACAATACTCTTGACGGATTCGCTCCTTTATAGTCGCTAATATCCCACTCTCAAGGTTGTCTCAGGGTGAGAATCCCGTCTTTCTTATTCGTGTATCCTTCGATCCCGAACTCTTCTGTTGACCCAACATCTTCCGTGGAACAGGAATGTAGGGAATAAGATCGCCGTCTTCGTACTCCAATCTATGGGCTGCGATGTCGCCGCATTGAATACGGTGCAATTCAGTACGTTAGCGCCAGTTGATCTTCTCCGTCCCGAATCTCTTTCTATATATACCACCTAGTTCCTTGTCGTTCTAACAGAAGCGCCAACCGCAAAAGGCAATCATACAGGCTATAAGCAATGGAAGGGCACGCGGGTGTCGGCGCACGAGATCACGGACCTATGGGAAGGCCTCAAGCAGTCGTACCTTGACAACTTCGACATGATGCTCTCCGGTTACGTGCCAGGCGCCGCAGCAGTTGAGGCCGTGGGTAATATCGGCAAGGAGCTCAGACGCAAGTCGGAAGAGGCGCAGAAGCCAGGCAGTTTCTTCTGGGTGCTGGACCCCGTCATGGGCGACAATGGCCGATTATATGTAGCCGACGATGTCGTTCCTGCGTATAAGAGCTTGATCCACTATGCCGACATCATACTGCCGAATCAGTTCGAAGCCGAGTAAGTATCTCCCAAGTTCGCAATATTCAAACCCCTTTATCTTTTTCCTGCAGTCGCAAGAGAGTCTAAGTGGTATTCTACAATAACAATGGCGATCGAAGAACACCGAAAAGTTAATGGCGCATTAATTAACGAACCCCTTTTACTTGTCCTAGACTTCTCTCCGGTGTCAAGATATCCGATTCAGCATCCCTCGAGCACGCCATACAAGTCCTACACCAGGAATACGGCGTCCCACACATCGTCATCACATCCGTATCCATACCACTCCTATCATCTTCCTCCCCGGAGACCGCCGTAAGTGCTATGTCCGTCGTAGGCTCGACTATGACGTCAGACCGACGGCCGCGGCTCTTCAAGATCTCGTTCCCGGTCTTCGATTGCTACTTTAGCGGCACGGGCGACATGTTCGCGGCGCTGATGGTAGCGCGCATGCGCGAAGCCGTTTCTAAGTATGACGGAAGTAATGGGAACGCCAACGGAGTAAAGCTAGGCGAGAAGCGCTCGTGGCTCAGCCAAGACGACGTTAGTGTGACGGACCTCCCGCTCGCGAGGGCGGCCGAGAAGGTCTTAGCTAGCATGCACGAAGTCCTAGAGCGCACGTGCGAGAGCATGATAGTCGAGATGGCTGCGGCCACTAAAGAGGGTATGGACGAGAAGACGCTGCACCTACTCAGGTCGAGGGCCGCGGAGCTGAAGCTCGTAAGGCATCTAGGGAGCTTGCGCGATCCGACTATAGAGTACCGCGCGGAGAAGATGTAAGCTAGCTTGGGTAGGTGTAGATGAGATTTAGACGGATATCTATGGACGCTGACTTAGGCTAAACCTGGATCACATGGGTTCCGAGCATATAGATAATAGAGTGAAGCGTATATCATCTCACCAGAGGCGGAAGTGAAACTTATGAGTAATGCTGCTTAGTGCCTTGTTTGCTTGCTGCCTTGTGTATCCAGCCTGAGAAGATCATAGTCATGTAGAATCTGTCTTACGTTTGATAGAGTCTCCTATCTTCTATTCATAGATGAGGTGTAGAGCTTTTGATGTCTCTATAAAATGTCACTTGTTTGCATTTCGTCTGTTTGACTAACTGGGTGAGCTGGTGCTGACTCAGAGACAACACTCTCAACCTACGCATCGCCCATGAATCAGAGACATAACTGACTCCCCTTTCCTTTCCTTTCAAATCATTAATCCTTTACTTCATTCCTATTTGCATACCAGCCCAGCTCTCTTTCTTTCTTTTTCCATTCCCGGTTCCGTCCAAGGAACATCCCCAAAGCATTGCTTCCTCACTCGTACAGCCATGTCTGCTACCTAACTTAGATATATAGGTACCGATAGGTAAATATGCAGCGAACGAACCCAGTCTAGTTCGTCCCCGTACTCCCAAACCCCCCCGCCCCACGCACGCTCTCCTCCAGCTGCTGCACCTCAACCACATCAGGCGTGTAGATGCGCTCGACAATCAGCTGGGCCACGCGGTCGCCCTCGGCCACCGCGAAATCCGCGTCCGAGTGGTTGAACAGGAGAACCTTGACCGGGCCCCGGTAGTCCGCGTCGATGACGCCTGCCCCCGTGTCGATGAAGTGCTTCGACGCGAGCCCTGAGCGCGGCGCCACGCGTCCGTATGTGCCGGCCGGCACTGCGATCGCGATGTCTGTGTCTACGAGGATTTTGCCGCGTGAGGGGATTGTGGTTGCGCGGGACGCGTATAGGTCGTACCCTGCGGCGAAGGCGCTGCCGCGGGTGGGCAGCTTGGCGCTGGGGGAGAGCTTTTTTATTAGGAGGGGTGGGGATTGGACGAGGGCTGGGACGGGGACTGAGGTGCCGTTGTTGGAGGCCATTGTTTCGGTGGTGGTGGTGGGAGTGGTCTTGACTCGTTTCGCTGGCGGTGAAGTGGGAGGTGAGGTTATAGATTCAGCAGCAGTCATAGTCTCTTGTTCAGAGTTCGGGTTTGTATGAGGGAATGGTGTGGACTTTGAATTTGAACTTATTGGTTAAGATGAAGGTGTTTGTCGATTGGAGAGTTGCAATTGCAATTGCGGTGAAGGTTTTGCGGGTGCAGAAAGTGGAATCTAGCGGTGGACATGCAGTAGAACGCGTTAGGGGAGCTGCAAAGACGCGTTGAGGGGCGCGTAGAGACAATTAATTGGCCAATTACCATAAAGCACGGCGGGTTGGGTGCTAAGGGCTGTCTGTTCCCGCCTTTATCACACTGCGCCGCAATGCATCGTGCCTCGTTTCCGCCCCTCTGGGATTGTTGGCACAAATAGAAATTCAGAGAAAAATGGTGCTGAATATGTGCAAATTCTCTGATATATCTTGGTTTTTATGGCCGAGTGTAATTGGTAACAGTGATCTTGAAGTGTTACACATCACTTCGTTATTTTCAACTTGGACTCTGCTGGCCTCCACTGCGTTCAAAGTACCCATTGTATGTCGAATAGACGGATGGTTAATCACTTCAGAATTGACAATGAGATGATCGTTGTCCGAGTCGCGATACGAAGTATGTAGTAGTTTCGGTTCTAATAAGGAACGGACCCTTAGGTAGTAATGGGAACGAGCCCCTTGTTTGATTGACGCCTTTAGCATGCGCTGTGTTTTGCATAGCGTACATGATCGACTCATCATGACACCGCACGAACTACTCGTCCAAATCTTTGCCAAAGTCGATCAGCCGCAACTTTGTCGAATCTCTAGGGTGGAACTGCGCGACCCTAGATCTGACCAAGAACCTTGCAGCTGCTGACTCCCTAGGAAGCTGGACGTAAGCGGCTGAACTATCCCCATCCGATTGCGCAAGGCTGTTGAGTAATTCCTCCGTCAGGTCGCGCATCTCTGTACCAGCAGCCCCTATCTCGTCCTGGCTGTCTTTGTTCGATCTCCCCGCTGGCTGATCCTCCTGCGGCGCGCCCCATATCTCATCAATGCGCCGCTGTCTTTTGTCCTGATCCGGATTTTCTTTGGCCTTCTTTAGCTTGCCCTGAGCACTGAACCCTGCTGCGAGGTCATCTCCGTCAATATCCATCATGTCTCCAACGACAGGGCCTCCAAGCTCTTCGGCTGCGAGCATGCCCGCGAGGTGCTCGTCGATGAATTTCCTAAGCGCCTTTAGGAGTGTCGACGTCTCTTTATCGTAATACTTCCTTTTTTGCTTCAGCTCTGTAATTCGCTCTGCGGCGATGTCCTCTGGACCCATCTCCATCCGGCTCTCCAAACCATCCTGCAAGGACTGTATGCGGTTGCGCAGGCTTTGCGAGAGAGCTTTCTGATCTTCGAGGTTTGACTTCTCAACCTCTAGTTGCCGCTTAGCCCTTTCGACCGAGTCCTTATGAGAGGCCAAATATGCCCTAGTCTCCTCCGCGGTCTGGTGCGTTTTGCGAAGGGCCAAGAGAGCCGGAAGAACGGACTCTGGAAACGGTAGAAACGGTGTTTGTGTTGCAAGGTCGTCGTAAGCTGCTTTCATGATCTCCCAAGGTGCTGTAGGAGGATGCGATTGACCTGCGCGGTACGCATTTGGGGTAGAGCGCAGCTGATTCAGTGCCACCTCGTGCTCCTTGACCTTCGCCTGGAGCTCCTGCAAGGTCTGGTTAAGACGGGATGCATGAAGCAAATCAGAGTCATTGCTAAGACGTGTGTCGTTGTCCATTTTGTTGTCGCGGTAGATGATTCAGGTTGCCAAGAAAGTGCCGCTAGCGTACCGCAGAAGAAGAGGTTGCAGCTGGATAAAATGTGATGATGCCTTGCAGCCTGCAGTGGAGGTCTATCTTTCCATATTGCAGGTAATATGCAGCAAGCAGCGTTCGACCAGGACCAT